AAGGTTTTTTGCTGAGCCTCCGTCGCTACTCAGTCCAGTGATCACTCCGGCCAGTCACTCTTCTTTTTTCCTTATCCAGTCTCAGTTTAATATTAGTTTCAGGAGCTAACCTACTGAGTTGTACGTCACTGACTAAAATTTCTAGTTTTCTTGCTGTATACGTATAACGAAAAACAAAAAATTCTACAAAATATTATATTTCACGAAAAACTTTAATAAATAAAGTATTTTATTGGCGAACAAAGTATCTCACAAGATGAGTAAACTATCGCAGTGGTTTACTTTTAACTTCTATACTTCTATTGTGAAATAATTTACTGCCAGCAAAATAGTATATTTAGAGAGGCAATGCTTTTCATGTGTTATATCTGTTGTAATTTCTCTACTGCTTTGCTACATGGTTTACATCACTTCACTAGTGAAAACAGCGTAACAGAAAAAAATTATTAAATGAGTTCCGCATGAGGTGTCAGTGTTTTCGAACATATCAGAAGCATTTTCATGTTAGGAGCTCGCACGACCGAAATTCGAAAATAAATGGACTAAAATTCTACTATTTGTTTTCGTCCGCTGTTGCCGCGAACAGTATTCTTTTGTCTTCTGTCCTCCTGTGCTAGCCGTAACTCCAATTGAGGTAGAAAAAATGGTATATGCAAGGAATTCAGAAAGTCTGCAGGACTGAATAAAAAGCGTGTGGAAGAAATCCGAACAGAAGGCAGAAGCGAAAACAAACTGCCACTTCCACTGAAGAAAAGTTCGTGCTGCCTCAACGACCTGTAAAACCACGCACAATATGTTGCCATGCATCAGCCCGAAAGCAACTGTTTTCTATTTTACTGTGTTACCCGTTCTACTGTAAGGAATTGAAAAAAAGTGCCACTTTCGCTGAAGAGAAAAAGTTAGTGCATACTCAGTGAGCCGTAAAACAACTTAAAGTATGTGCTAACAAGTAGCATCACATCTCAAGTGAAGCACTGCGGTACCAGTTTGGTGTAAGCGATACCGAGAGGTCAAAAATAAACCGTTCACAGATGAACTGATATGCCAGGAAAAATGATAGGTATGGTTAATAATAGCTCTGGTTAGGTTCTGTTCGGATTTCTTCCACACGCTTTTTATTCAGTCCTGCAGACTTTCTGAATTCCTTGCATATACCATTTTTTCTACCTCGATTGGAGTTACGGCTAGCACAGGAGGACAGATTATTTAACAGTACGCAGGAGCTGTTAAAAGAACATAAGGAATAGCGGCAAGGCGCGAGGACCCAGTTGGGCGCTTTTACGAAATTTCGTGGGTGACTGTTTGTAATTAGTTCCTCTCAGTAGTTCGTGATCTACATTTATTTTTATTGTTTGCGGACATATCTGCACAAAATGCTGGATGTTGTTCATAATCCTGCATCGCGAGTACTTAGAAAAAAGACAAAAGAGGAAGATGGCTCAACGTCAAATAGAAGCGCCAAAAGAAGGGGCGTGCACTGGGAATTTTGCATGGCGACAGATTATTCAAATGAATCTTCTTTTAATTGAAAATTTGTTTCGATATCGCAATCGTCGAAGAAAATTTCCTCGAAATACTCTACCATCATTTAGGCCATTGATAAAGTTTCCTTTGCCAGGCTACTGATATCATCTTTCGCAGTACTAACATCTTGCTTGTGGGGTTGGCCAAAAATGTCAGCTGTAATCTTAGGTAATTTTGATAGGACGAATTCTTTTAACAGTTTGTTTTTTTCATAAGAGAATGCACTATAAATACCAATTCTCTCTTTTTACAAGTTTTATTATTAGCAATAAAAAAAATATGGAGTTTGTTAAAATGCTTAAGTGTCAGTAATTTCTAATTAAACTTTGATGGATGTCGTTTAAAAAATGTGGATACTCATTTTCGCCTCTTTTTATCCTTTAATTTCTTTTTCTTTCCTGGCCCTCGTTTTTTCTTATCATGCTAGCTGTTAATATAATCTTTTTTTTTACTATGTGACAAAACCGGAAAAAATCCAATATTTTGATCTCTAATGACTCCCTTCATCTTCTGCGTGTTCATTCAATTAATACTTTTACAGTTAAAATCACGTACTCTCTTCTTTCGCTTCATGAACTGCGCAGATTTTTCGGCCCTTTCAGCTGTCTTAGCATTGTGATTAAACGAAAAAGAAATGAAGTTGAAAGTGTATGCTGTTATCAGCTTAGCGTTTTTTTAAAACCTTACAGAATCGGAAGTTTCAAAGAAACAGGGACGATGGCTTTGTACAGGAAAAAAGGATCTTTTAGAGTGTAGCTGGACAGAACCGAGTAAAATGGTAGGGAAAATTCATCTGGAAAGTACAAAAAGACTCTTCAGCCACAAAAAGACTCTCCTCTCTTCAACCACATTATTTCCATCAAAATATGCCTTCTGCTAGTTCTGCCACAACTCGCCCTCTAGTCAACTAGGAGTTTCAATTGCCCCGCTAGTTTAGCAGATTTAAGTTAGTTTTTGCTTCTTCTAGTAGAATCTAACACTTCTCCTTCACCCTCACTTTGCTATACTGTTTTGGCAATATTAACACCTCCTGAATGCAAAATTGTGTGGAACTTCTCTTCGTGCTTCATGCTGCTCGAAAAAATGCAAAAAAGTTAGCTGTATAAGCTGTGCATCCATTGCTTTCGTTTCATTATCAATTTGTTTCGGAGTTGCAGCGCTCACTGCGCTTTTGCATACATTAAATGTGGATGTGTGGGCGTTGATGGTATCCAGAAGTGTTTCCACTAATGGGATTTAGCCCCAACACCCAACTACCAACACCACTCCCATGAGGAATTTTTGCAAGAGAGCAGCTCTGGAAGCGTAAACAAAACTGATCGCAAAGCTGCTCTCGTTCGAAAAAATGAAAGCATCTTTGGTGGTATGGTGGCCTACAGCTCAGCTCGCACCGGAAGGAATTTTGCAGCTGAAAACCTTCCCTCTCCCTCGCTAGCATCCGTCGGCGTTTTGCTGATCCTTTTTGGCGTACGACTGCCCGAGTGTGCATTTGTTAGTCTTTCCCCATGCTTTCCGTCTAAACCTTTTTAGAGAACAAAACCACTTCGCGGTTCGCCTTCCCTTCTTGACCAACTGAAAACCCTTCGTTAAGCTTTCTTTCTAGGCACCCCTCGGCCAAATGAAACCCCGGAGAATATCTACTGCTAGCGACAGCGCTACAGTTGGGATAGAATTGATTGCTCCCATAATTTCCTGGCCTTCCTGGAATCTTGGACTAATGTTAAGAATTGGTTAATGCGCTTATAATTAGACAATTTTGCAAATGAAGCAGCTTTTTTAACTTGGCAAACCAGCTGTTTCGAATTGTTTTGGTATTTTCCTCTACCTTCTCTGTCTCCTATACTCTGTCAGGAGGAAGCGAGGAACTCTAAAAAACTTTGGGGGCAAAAGAGCAGAACACTGACCATCAAATTTTTAAGCATATCAACAGTATTTAGACGGACTTCAAAGCTAGTATTTCGTCGAGAATTTCAAAATTATTTCTTTTTCATACCCAAAAAAGTTAACATTCTCTTCTCCTCCCAAACCTCTGCTGCCCCATCCATTTTCTTGCCCTCCTTGTCTGAAAAAACAAAATAAACGGGGTAACTACTTTCTAGTCAAAATAGTGAGTGAGCGTAAGGGGCATGGGATGCTTCGTCATGTACTTGAAAGAGAATTTCAGTAAAAGCCAAGAAATTCTTTGAGTGGCCTCCCTAAGCTTTTAATACGTCACTAGTTTTCAAGCGCTGTTTACCCAACGTAATGGAAAAAATTTTGTAAATAGTGCAGCACTTTATTTCGCACAACTTTCCGTTGAGTTAACCGAGAACACGGGCCATGATTTCTTACAGATTTTCACCCACAGAACTTAGTTCCTCACTATTTTGTCGTTCTCAATCGTTATATTTGTATGCTAGTTTAAAAATATTGAAGCGATTCTGGGACCCACTGCGTTAATGTTATCGATCCGGCGCAGCTCCGAAACTAAAAATTAAAAATCTTAGCTTGAGAATGGACATGAATTCAAAAGTCGTAAAGCAATGAAGTTCAGAGTTCGGTTCCAGATCACGCATCAAAGCCTGTGAACGTTTTCCCAGTGTTCTCTTCCTGTTTATGTTTAAAAAAAAAATCAAAAGGTTTTCTGTTCTCGAGTCAAAAATGTCTATACTGCTCGAAGAGAAATTAAGAAACTCTGTTATGATGCAAGGTAAGCTAAGATAACGAATATGATTTGAACTTATATTATTACTTTGTTAAGTCAAATAACTCCTTGAATTGTGATAACCAAAAACATAATTATAAAAGAAGAGGTTTATATGAACTATGATTTAGAAATATAAATAGTGTATTTCGGGTTCTTTCCAATGGATATAAAAAACAGCTTGTGGTAGGGGCTGTTCGATATACCCGTAATATAATATTAACTTAAGCTTGAGCCTAAAGTTGTAGGGCAAGTTATAGGGCGACCTGAAGGCCAGATTTGCCGCTATAATACTGCATATTGCAGAGAGCAATATCTTCAAAATACTGTATCTTCAAAATACGCAGAGAGCAATATCTTCAAAATATACAGTTTAAGAGAACAGGTATATATATGCACACGCATTTTAACGCGGGCTCACCATCCTAGGAAGCATTTTTTCTGTATTTTATCAAATGTCTCAGCACTTCTCATTTTCGAGGATCGTGGACACAGACGTACAAACCAAAGGGAAAGAGTACAAACTGAAATATGCTGATCACGGCAGAAAGGCGTGCACCGTTGTTGTGTCAAATGTTTGCTTGAATGCCAGTGATAGTGGAGCTCCAGACTGAGAGCCCGAGTCGTGTCAGTGAGAATGGACTTGGTCATTTTGAAAATGCGGTACTTGAAAATGCATACGATGATTGTGATAGCGCGCTAACAGCTGTTATTGCGGGCAGCGAAATCATTTCATCTGGAACACTTGGCTGCAGAAACTGATGATTTGAATTGACAGGTGCAGACGAGAAGGATGGCACTAAGTGCTGCTCATCAGTCGTCGTCCAATCTAATGCAGTTCAGCGAGGATGTCATCAAGCAAGTATGCCTTGTTCTTTCGGTTTTCAAACTATTTTTAGTGTTTGTGAGCAACACAGCATCTGAATGCCTAGCGTAAGCGAAATTCACACGTGCAGACGGCGGAAGGGGTGATGGTGTAACAGGAGCGAGACTGACCCGGTGCAGTTTAGCCCAATTCTATTTCACAGTAAATTGGTGCACTCCGTACATCCCACAGTAAGGTTCAAAGCAATCCCAGTCCGCTTGTTCATTCACCACACCTAGTGCTGTACTTCTGCTAGTGGAAACTTTCCATTCTCTAGTGTTTGTTCTGCTACACAAGAATGGGTGACGAATAAGGATGGGAGACATGGAAGTATTTGCAAAACCGGCTCTAGAGAAGCATAGAAAATTTTTTTTTTTTTAAATTAACATTTCAGTTATTAGATTCTAATTTGTCATCCATTACTAATGTGCTGACTCTCCAACAAAAAAATTTCTCGTTTTGTGTTTACCAACACTACCAAAGCCGCTCGACAATTGTTCTGGCAGTCTGATAATGGTGATGCTTCTGAGATACATCCACACAACGGTACAGTTATAACAGATCCTTCAGTCCTAATTGCCTGGCGAGTGGGAGGAATGAGCTAATGTGCTTGGTTTTACACGGATTTTCGGTCCTAATGCCGCTGGAGGTAGTGGCAGAGAAATATTATCCAGCCCTTCACTGAAATGAGTTAGGTATTTGAATACATGTTGTTGCCTTCGGAAAAGTGACCCACCAAACGCCTGATCGAAGTACTTGCGCCTGCTCTTCGGCTGCGGCCGTGCTAGTCTTTTACTTTTTCATAGGTATCACTCAGTGGCAGACATACATACTAAGAAGCTGAAATTTGTATTTTCAAATTGCTATACCACCGTCTTAGTGGATGATTTTCTTGCCCGAACGTGGAAGAAGAAAGTAACAAGAACATTCTCGACATAAGTGCACATATCGAGGTATGAAGCAGTGGACGCTTTTACTGTTGGTACCCAACTTGTTGCTGTCAGAAACCACGCGAAAATTTATGACTACACTAGTAGCTTGGTTGCGGACAATTCTGTATTGTTGCATTTTTTCTCATCTCCTTCCTGTACTGGGTGTTACCAACAAACAGTTTGTTAGTCTCCGCCATCGTTACAATATATCATTTCTTGCTCTTTTGACAGTGCTAAACCTCCTAACGCACCTCGTCATCCTTCCTTGCTGCGAATACTTTGAGATTTCGACCGTTTTATCATAATTGGCAATGAGGGATGAGTTCGTGCCCAGTACAGAATTTCTCAACGGTATCCAGGGCTGACCATATTGCGGATACAAGTCTAAAGAAATTTCGGGGCTTTTCTTGGTGTTTAGGATGTGAAATAATAAGTCAGTTCGCAAAGAGTGCAACTTACAGAAGATAATTTGGAACCGCTTTTTGCTTAAAGAAATTCAATTCCGCCAATGTTCATCTGTTTTTCCTTCCTACGCTTTGTCTTCTTTCTCCTACCTCACATCGTCAGCAGTCACAGTCATTAACCATATCTTCATTTTGCGACGTACTCGGTCTTTTTCAGTGTCTCACACACTCCGATGATGTTTCATGATGTCCTATCGATTTCTCGAAAAAGCCAATTGAAGAGTTTGTTCCTCAAAAAAGTTTAATAAACGGAGTCAATCATAAATCAGAAATTTTTCCCACTTCTTGAACTGAGTCGATTAGATAATATGTTCTGACAACGCTACTGCAAATTTTTGTCGTGAATAAGATTTCTTCCTAAGGATAGCTTTTAACTTTTGCAGTTGACGCCTGAGGAAATTGATGAATTTCGAGAAGCTTTCATGATGTTCGACAAGGATGGTAATGGGACAATTTCCACAAAAGAACTGGGTATCGCGATGCGGTCACTTGGCCAAAACCCTACCGAACAAGTAATTCTTTATAAATTTTTGAATGAATCAACTATGCACAGTGTTGAAATTATGTGGCTATGCAAGCGTGCCTCTGTTTGAACACCCATCCTCAAATTGATGGAAGCAATTTTAATAACACGGCCATCAACCATGCATGAGCGATCGGCTGGTTTTTCGAACTCAAAAATCGTATCAGCATGGCGTTTTAGTCGTGATCGATATTCGCTGTAATGGTTGAATCGATACTCCTCAATGCCTTTTCATCTCCTCTCCACTGATTTCTCGAGGCCTGCAATATATATATATATATAAATATACATATATATAGTATATATATACACTGATCTAGTATTTGTCATCAGTATTTTGCCTCATAGGAAATTTTGGAAATGATCAACGAAGTGGACATCGATGGAAACGGGCAAATCGAATTCCCCGAATTCTGTGTAATGATGAAACGAATGATGAAGGAAACAGATTCAGAAATGATCCGTGAAGCGTTTCGGGTGTTCGATAAGGATGGAAACGGTGTGATAACTGCTCAGGAATTTCGATATTTCATGGTTCGCTTTTTCCTAATTTTTGGCTTAGAGAGTAGGGCGATGACTTGAAAAGGCAGTCCTGTCCACGTGTAGCTTAAAAATTTCAAATTCATCCCCTAAGCAGGATTGCTGCACACATACAGGCACGTAAAATTTTCGACGAGAAAATTGCTAACTCGTGAACCAGGTAAACTAGGAAGCTGAAACTTCGGGAAAATGCACTTTGTCCACATGCGACCTAAAAATTTCAGATTCAGCTTCTAAGCATGCCTGGTTCTCACGTATGAAAACGTGAAATTTTTGGCTGAAAAATTGCTTACACAGAAACTAGAACAGCTAGTTATTTTCAATGAACAACTGATTACCAGAAATTATTCACTTTTCTTCATGCAAAATTTATGGGAATTAACGCATAAGTGAAATGTAAAGCAACAAACACTCGCGCTGTTTACAACTTGATTGCTTCAAGTTTAATGCAAAAACGCATAATCTTGCCGTGGTGAGCCTGACACTTCGCATCCAGGTACTCCCATTAACTCGCTTAATATCGAACCTCTTCTACTTTCAGGTGCATATGGGTATGCAATTTAGCGAAGATGAAGTTGATGAAATGATCAAGGAAGTGGATGTAGACGGTATGTTTTTAGAGGACTTAAAGCATTAATGGCTTGATGGTTATTCGCATTAAGGTCATAGTACCCAGGCTGGACAAATAATTTTTGCGAAGCTTTGAAAATACTATCAGTGCACGTCAGTGCTGAGATATTTTTCCCCTTTCTGGAAGCTGTGCGCAGTAATAATTTAAATATGCGCCTACGGGCTTGATCTATGATGGGGGTCGGCAGCCGGAGGGTAGTGGACTGGTTAAGAATCGTAGGTGTTAGAGCGATGCTACAACGATTTAGGCCTCTTAGTATGCGCTTACAACTGTAAACCGCAAATGAAGGATGGACTCGTGAACTATCTTCTCCCAACGTCATCAGTGTGTATAGATGTGAAAAAAGGTGAAAGACCAGACACCGTGACTTGAAGGGTAGAAAAGCAATTTTGTTCAGCAGGGGAGGACAGAACATTGGCGAAGTTAAATTCATTGTCAACACGAAATGGCTATCACAAATCATCTCTTGTTACTTCCACTCGCTGCATACTGATATACCCTCAAAATCATCCTAATTTGCTTACGCAGTACGGTCAGCGATGGCGAAGAGGCGAAAGAGATTGCAAGAGGAATGGCAGAAGTGACGGTCTAGCTACAGTAGCAGTTGTTACTATCTAATTTCGAAAAGATGCGAGACAAGTGTGCCAAATGCAAAACCGACTACATCAGTGCTTGTAGCGCCTCCGAAGATGCGTTCGCAGTACCCTCCTTCGGAATGGTATGCGACTACCACAAGTTATGAGCAATAATAATACATATGTCCTAGCTCATGAAAAAAGGGTTCTATACTTGGCAGTCAAGCACCGAAAATTTGATGGAGATGTGTAGCGAGGAAGGCCTGTGCGAGATGCAGATATGATGGGCATGCACTCCAGCCACAGAAACAATTTCAAGTTCAAATCACCACATCAAATATCACGGAGGGGGAAACCCGAGTCAAGAGGCGGCACACTTGCATATCATAGGGAACCTAAGAGAAACTGGGCAAGGTGAAAGGGGCTTAACCACCATCCTCGTTTCCTTGCTGCTACCACTTTCTTCCTTTTGCAACAGAGGAGATAAAGTGGCATATCAGGAATGTTAACTGGGCTATGTCGACGAATACTGATCAGAACTACTAATACCCCGTTAATGTATTTGAGTGCGGTCCAAAGAGCGAGTGCATCCGATCTCGACATTCCAATTCAAGAACCTCTGCAGCCACAAAAGTGCTGTTAGCGAAGAGAAACCTAGTAGAAAGCGTACCGGCTGCCGGTACGAGGATGCGTTTTTTGCACAGTTCCCCCCCCCC